CTTTCATTTGTGGTAGTGTCATAATTTACCAAATAAGGAAAGATTTTCATCACCCAAGTTTCAGTTGGATAGAAACTTGGAATCATGCAACTTGCATTGTATGATGAATGAGAATTTTCATCTTTGGGAAATTAAGACTAATTCCTTGTTCACATGTAAATGTGAGTCAAGTGAAGGACTAAAGGATTGGGTACACTTGGTTGTACGCTGGTCAAGTCCACTACAAGGAATGACAAGATTATTCGTTATGATTTACTAAAGTTTAGTAAATATGGTTATACTTACAAGTTTAAGTATAATTCTCAAAACATTGGAAAAGTTTCAATGTATGGCAGAACGAATGAGAAGAATCAAATTAGGCAAAAAGATAAAAGTTTCTCAAATCTGAAGAGATGGGAGAGTACTTTAGTATCATGTTTTATGATCATCTTAATGATTATGAAACCATATCACAATTGATCCTCTAAGGACATCTTAGTGCATTCTTATGGATAAGAAGAGGAGTCATGAATTGTTGAAGTGGTTAAATCAAGAAGATGAGTCATACTTCGTTCCAAAACAATTCTTAGAGTCATACTCCAAAATTGTAACTTGAGTGACATATCTTAAAGAAGGTTTATAACACTTGTCAAATGTAGAGTAAAATGTTTTCTACTCTTGTACATTTGAAATTGGTAAGTTGTGATGTTTTGGATAAAACAAAGACCAACTAAGGCCAATTGTGTGAAGTGTTTGTCTTGATAAGAATCCGCACTAACTCTTGAATATTTGTTGTCAAGTAATGGTATTTGACAAAGAAAATCTTATATGTCAAGAGGTCAGTGGGAGTCTTAAAAGATCTTGAGATAGTTTCAAGAACTAATCAAGACTATTGTTAATCACTAGCCCACGACTTGAGGTTTGTAACCTATCGTGTTAACATATTCTTATTTCTGTGTCTATTCCAGTTAAAAATTGACTATGCTTGTGAGTTCTATGAGTTCTCAATTGTTTGCATAACAACCTGGAAGCAATGGTAGGCCCTTGAGCTGCCAGGAGGCAAGCAATTAAGATTAAACAAGTTCAGTCCATATGAGTTTGGATTTGTCACTAACCTTATCTTGTGATTATGGTTATGAAAAATTTACATGGATAGGAACACATACACCATAAAAATCTAAGTGTAATAAGGTTTCTCTCCGATTCATGAAAATGATGGTGAGGAAATGCTTTCACTAAGTAGATTTTAAGTAGATAACAGTTGTAATATTTGCATTCTCAAATTCGTTAGTGGAGCGTGTGTGGTTAACCGACACACTAACATGGACTTATGAGAAATGGCAAAAAGGTCTAAACCTTATGATTACGGCATCCCTCTTCATAATTGTTTAGACAAACAAGTGAGCTATCTACGGAAAGGTGTATGATTTTGATAAAGTTTTATCAAAGCATCTCGTATCAGAAATATGAACTTTGATAAGAAAGTCAATACAATATTGATTTCTAGAAGTCCAGATGATTTCTGGGTACATGTCAAAGCTAGTGGGAGCATAAGTGTTATGCTACTAATTATCATGTTAGTGGGAGCATGATTATTTTGTTAAGTGTTAGCAATATTAATTTTAGAAAACAAAAGTTTCAAATTTACAAAGTTGTAGGGTTTGAAAAGTTGTTTTGCTATAATTAAGGGAGAGGATTTTATACTTCATTCCAATTATACAATCTTCGATTGAGATTTCAATCAACTTTAGTTAATGATATATATCAATGTTATGGTTCAACATAAGGAAATTCTATATATGTTGCGTTCTCAAAATTCGATTATGATTACGGCATGCCTCTTCATAGTTTGAATTGTGAGAACATGGGAAATAAAAAATATTTTAGCAAAAGACTGGTAAAGTATCATGTCTTTATGTAAGACATCATGAATCGTGTCCCATATGCTTCGAGTATAGGATCGCTTACATGTGCTATAAAATTTATCCGTTCTAAATTTTCCAAATGCCTAGGGAATTAAGAGGGAAAAAGGACTAGAATTGGATATGACTAAAATGATTAAGCAATTGTTAAGGACAATCTGAGGTTTACCAAAGATTGGTTACTCATGGACAGTTGGAAGTATAATGTAAATTTTGGATAGGACCATATTGACATATTCTGAAAAGAGGCAACTCTTGATCATAAGTGATAGTCAGAATGGAAATATGGAAATGTTTCCATAGGTGGAAGTTATTCATTAAATCTGTGTAAGATTAGAAAAACTTAATACAAGAAGGATGTTCAAAGGAATGTACTTTGAATATGAGACTTCATTTCCATGGAATTGATCTCCATTGGAATACTTTGTAATGCCTGTTGTCAAGTCTTTATGACTTTTGTGCATAGTCATTACAAGAGGATCAATGCATATAAGTTTAGAATCTAACAGATTTCCGAAAATGGTAAGAATTTGGTATTCTTACATTTAACATAAGGATTTGGAGTTGTGAGATGAGCATCATTGAAATGTTTTCAATTGATCTATTCCACAAAGAAAGGACCATAGACAAACATAGTGTGTATGCTTGGAGCATGGCATAACTATTGTTTTAATTCAAGTATAAAGTTGATTATTCGAAACATTATATAATGAATAATGAGTAATCAATATGGTGATTAAATAAAAGGTGTTTTATTTACTCTCAAAAGTTTTGGGGCCATATAGGATTAGTATTATTCTTGTGTTTCACTTTGCATGTTTTGATTTCCCGAATAACTAAGTTTATTCAAACTCTCCACAGTCAATCATACTTTGGAAGTAGGTATGAATCAAGATTGTCATGAATTGGGCTTGTAGATGTCTAAGGTGTTTAGACATAGCAAAAGTTGCTGCAACATTCATGAGTGCTCCTGGAATAAGATTCGAGTATTGGATTAAACCCACGCTCATTTGAATCACTTCATGGATTTTATCACGAGTGATCATGAGACGATAATATCTTATATTCTTCAAACCTTGAGATATGAATTGTTGACTATGAGTTGGTTGTACATTCATTGTACAAAAACACATCAGTAACTTGATGTTATAAAACGTGCCTTTGTGTATGATTCAACAAGTAGTTAGTACAAGCATATGAGTCGAAGTTTATCATCCTTTTACCCTTGGAGGGATAAAAGCGATATATGTGGGCCCCTCGATGATTTAGTGATGACACCCTTAAGTGCTTGGCCAAGCCTGGACTGATTTGATTTGTTCAATTAGTCGGTCGTCGTAAATCGGAAATCGTGAAACAACAGATGGACAGAGAGAATGATTATAATCCATGTCTCAGTCCATATGATATATTGTAGAATGGAGGAATATATGATCCCTTATCTAATGAACGCGTCATTGATTTGTTCAGAGTTCGACAGCGGCTTTAAGAGCTACGATTGCTAGTCGGGTTGTGAAGTCGTATTTGCAATAATAGTTATTAGACTTATCCAAGTGGGAGACTGTTGGATTAGTGTCTAAGTCCAAAACTATAATTGGTATATACTTGACCCGACCCGGCATGGTCCATTTGGGTTGCACTTCACCGGGACAAATTGTATGGATAGACTTATAAGAAAAGGATATTTATGATTTATTAATATATTATAAGTTCTAATATATTAATATGAAATCATATTATTTAATTAGTATTGATCAATAATTAATTTGGAATTAATTTAGTGATAAAAAGAGATTAGTTATATATGGACTCATATAGTATGGGCTAATGTTATTTAGGGTGGGCTAAGCCTACATGGAAGTCCATGGATAGCCATGGAGCTTTTAACCCATGGATCCTAAGTAATGTGGAAAGTCATGGGTATTAGGGTTTACCCTAATCATGCATACTATATAAAGGAGTCATTGGCTCATAAAATTGGCACTAGTATGTGTAAGAAGCTTGGCCGATTTTGTGAAGCAACTCTCTCTCTCTCTCTCTCTCAAGTCTTCCAAGTTGTGGATGGTGATTTGTGATTCCACTTGAGGCATTCACATTATTGGTGCTAGGCTCTTAAAGCTCCAAGTAATCAACTACAATAAAGGTATGTATTCTATCTAGTTTTTGTTATGTAAATACATATGATTATATGCTAGTTAGGGTAATACCTTGTAAACTTCAAGTTTGCATGTATAACAGAGAAAACATAGATCCAATGTATTTAGGGTTGCATGAACACCTTAGGAGTGTTAGAATGCTCAAAACCCATCAAACCCTTCGCAACTCGTCGAGTTCCTTATCCGACTCATCGAGTTCATACAGTCCAATTGTTGTCCATATGATTTTGAGCCATTCCAATGCTCCAGATGGTAGATCCAGCCTCCTAGGGCCTAGTTACCACGTAAAGTTGCAAACTTTACGTGCATGCAAGGTTTTGAGAGCCAAAACCAAGCTAAAGAAGAAGCGTAAGGTAAGGAAAAGGCCATAGCTTGGCAAAGACTGAAACTTTATGACCATAAGGGGCTAAAGGGGTTCATATCTGAAGTTGCAACCTCAGATCTTGCCCCAAATCCGGAAATACCACCACAATACATCAAAAAGGGTTCTAAATCCATGAAACAAGAGATCTAGCTAATGGTGAGCCAAGGTAACAACATGTTAACTTCAAAGTGATGCTAAGATGAAGTAGAACTCGGATCAACAATCTCTCTTTGCTCCAACTTCTTGTACTTCAAGCTCTTCCCACCACAATCCACCTTCCAAGCTTAATATAACACCAAAATGAAGTGTAAGCAACGATTTAGGGTTTTTGGACTCACAAGGGGGATGTAAGGGAGGCTAAGGGGGGGTAAGTGACCCTTAAATAGGGTGCAAACCCCCGGGGATTAGGGTTTCTCATTCCAGCTCCAACTCGTCGAGTCGGGTTTACCAACTCGTCGAGTTGGTTACTTAAGCCACGTGGCTAAACGTGTCCCTACTTGATGAGTCGAGGCACCAACTCGTCGAGTAGATCTTCTGAGATGGACATAAAACTGTAAAATTATATACCTGGGAGTCGGGGTGTTACACTTTTTTAGCCTCAAGAGACCCATTTATTTGGTTTGCCACCAACCGAGAGTCTATGAATGCTCTCACCTTCTGTACCCCTACTTCCAGGACGATTTGTAGTACCGCCAAAAATCCCTCGTATTCCGCTTCATTTTTTAAGCAGTTAAAGTTAAATCGTAGAGCATAGGTTAGCCGGTCTTCGTTTGGGCTGATGAGGATAATACCGGCTCCTGAACCATTCTGGCTCAAGGCCCCATCTGTGTACATCGTCCATAGGGTCTGCAGGTCGTACATCGATTGGGGTTTGGTGGGTTCGGTGTTGGACGTTGTCACCACCCATGCACTAGCCTTTTCTTCATATGGTATTTCGGTCAGAAACTCAACCAGAGATTGAGCTTTCAAGCTCGTTCCTGGTCGATAGGTAACATCATATTCCACGAGCTCGATGGACCACCTTGTTATCCGCCCCGAGCACTCAGGTTGCATTAAAATTTGTTTGATGGGTTGATTTGATAGGACGGTAGTGGGGTGTGCAAGAAAATACCTTCGTAACCTCATCATTGTGTAAACCAGGGCCATCGTAAGTTTCACGATGATTGAGTAGTTTAGATCCGCCTCTTGTAGAACTCGTCTTAAAAAATAGACTGATACTTGCTTCCTACTTCTTTTTGCCACGAGCACTACGCTTATGGCTTCCCGACTGGCAGACAAGTATACTATCAAAGGTTCTCTGACCTTCGGGCTAGCCAGTGTAGGAAGATTTTCCAAGTACGCTTTCAATCTTACCAAAGATTCTTCAGCCTCCTCCATCCAAGTAATGGTGCCCTTTCCTAGATGATTCTTGAGTGACCGGAAGAATGGAAGCGATTGTTCTTTCGACTTTACCAAAAATCTTCCCAAGTCAGCCATCTTCCCGTTTAGACTCTACACCTCCTTGACCGTTATTGGTCTTATGGTGCTCATTAATTCCTTTACTTTATCCGGATTAGCTTTTATCCCCTGAGTAGACACAATGTTTCCCAAGAACTTTCCCTTTTTTGCCCTAAAGATACACTTTTTTGGGTTTAACTTCATGTTGATCTCCCTCAAGCGAATCAATGTATCATCAACATCCTTTAAGAATTCACAGTATTCCTTGCTTTCGATCACCATATCATTGAGATATACCTCTATGTTTCTTCTTATCGGATGCTCAAAGACTCTGTCGACCAACCTCTAGTAAGTTGCACATGTTTCCATGCCCAAAGGGCATCTTCTTATAGAAAAACGTCCCCTTTTATATATGAAAATCTATCTTATCTTTGTCTTCATTTTCCATATGAACCTGATGATACGCTTTGTACGCATCCAGAAATGACTTCCATTTATGGCCTCCCAAAGATTTTATCTTCTGCTCAATCTCTAGAAGCGGGTAGCTATCCTTCAGACATGATTTATTCAAGCTGCTGAAATCTACGCACATCCTCATTGACCCATCGTTTTTTGTTACTAGAACCAGATTTGCGATCCAGACCGAGAACTGGGTAGCCCGAACTAACCCTGCATGGAATAGATTTGGTACCTCCTGATTGACGATGACATTCCGTTTGCTCGCCATTATTCTCTTCTTATGTTTAATAGGTAGGAAACCAGGATTGAGGTTTAAGTAATGTTCAATGATGGACCTAGGGATCCCTGACATATATTCCGGCCTCCATGGCCTCCATGCGAACACATCAGCATACCTGGCTAGTAGTTTTGTCAGACCATGCTTGATATCGCTCAGTAGCTCCATCCCTATCCTTACTAATTGATCCCTACTTTTAGGGACCAAAATCACCTCTTCCTCTTCTGCCGAAGCACTAGCCTCCTTCTCCTTCTGAGGAGGCTCTACAATGTTGCTTAGTTTAGTGTGCTTATCGGTATTCCTGAGAGTGATGATACCATGTTCCGAAGGAAACTTTAGCAAACCATGCACTATCGATGGAACATCTCGCAGCTGGTACATCTTGGTTCTTCCCAAGAGCATGCTATATGGTGAATATGACTTTATGATGATGAAGTCCGCTAATATTGTTTTTCGCACGTCTTTTTGATATTCCACCAATGTGAAAGGTAAAGAGATTCTCCCTTCAGGCCACACTGCTTGCCCGACAAATCCCACAACTGCCGTAGTAGCCGGTTCAACGAAATTTCTAACAGCCTTTGGCAACTGAGCCAAGCAATGCGAATATATGATATTAACTGAACTTCCATTATCCACATATATCTAATGAATGGGTATCTTACTAATCGATCCTTTAATAACCAATGGTTCCGTCCCCTGTTGGCCGAGTGGAATGGGATCGTTTGGAGAAAACTCTAGCCCGACCCACTTTCTCTTTTTTGTTGGTAACATGTTATCCCCAAACCACAACATCATCACTTCGACGTCATATACCACTTCTTCATTCTGAGCATGCAACACTTCTTTGGCTGGGACCCTTTGCCTCTTTCTTTTTCTTTCTTTAGACCTTCGCAGTCAACAATCGCATGTCCTATTTTTTTTATGAAAGTAGTAGTATGGATCAGGTTCCCGAGGGTATCTTCTTTGGGTTTTTCAACTATTATCCTTTCTCGTCTCTTTCTGAGGTCGTACCTTATACGCTTACTATCTATAAGGGTTAACCCTATATTGGTACCTTCCCCTATCTCGTCGTGTTGACCAAGACTACCTTCATGTACGGCCAGGGGCATTACGATCGAACCTTTGGGCCACGACAAGGCATTTTTCCTTATGCTACAGGTGGTGGGCCGCTCCTCTCTCCATGCATATTTTTTCTGCGCTTTCTTCTTGCCTTAGAATTCGATTAACTTTTTTAGTAGCTCCTCTGCGTTATTCCAATCTCGTTCCACTAACTTACGGAAGAGCTCACCTTCTAGTAACTTATACGTGAAAGCTGCTATGATCATCGGATCATCCATGGTGGGCATCTTTCTGCTTATCTCATTGAAACGCTTGAAATAAGCCTTGTTCGACTCCCTTCTCTCTTTCTGCATGCGAATATTACATGGGCTTGTTGCTGAAACCTTTGTTTCTGTATGAAACTATTATAGAACTTCGAGCACAGTTCTTCGAAGCTGTCGATGCTCCTTGAGGGAAGACTTGCTAGCAAGTAGCGAGCCAACCCATCTAGTGTTCCCGTAAAATACAAGCACCGTAACTTTGGATTCATGGGAATCATCTTAATTGCCCACTGGAAGTTAGATACATGGTCTCCCGGGTATCCTGTGCCATCATAAGACTTCACTCTTGGTCCTTTTAGACTTGCACGGATGGGAGTGTCGTTTATGTCATCAATGGATGGGTTTCTGAAGTTTAGCTTCCCCATAGCCCCGTCATATTCCCTTCGGTCGTCCTTTCCGCACGAATCTCTAGACTTTAGCTCTTCCTGAGTTTGTGGTCTTCCATGTTCTTCCCCCGTCTCTTTCCCAGTTGCTGCACTCGAACGTCATGTGTGCATCGACATCCGATCATCGTTGTTCTTTTCTCGAGTTTTGCTTCTTTTCCTTGTTTCACTGCAGTCTTTTCATGGTTTCAAATCTTTGAAAATCTTCAAAGTCCCTCATATCTTGTTCATTTTGCATCTTTTTTTCATGAGAAAGGGCATTCGTTCTCTTGCCACTGTGACTATCTGAGGCATTTCACCCTACGCTTCTAACGGTTGCATCCCCATGACTGGACTGTTATTAATGTTGTTGATAGGATTTTCGGTAGGTACCATTTGTTGTGTGGTCCTATGGATGGTGCCACGTGATGCGTATCCGGATTTCGGTCCCTGATGATCCTAACGACTCGAAGATGCTTTAGGTCCAAACCCTGAGATAACAACACACAAGTGAGTCGTCAACCGAGATTTCTCTCGGGAGAACGCTCTGATGATTAAGTTGGGAAATAAGAGAGCAAGTTACGATCTTATGAGTGTAGGTCACAAGTATTGGTAACGTACCTTTGCCGACCTATCAGGGTTCTTTTTATAGTTCGACATACCTCGGGAACCGACGACGTGAAATGTACCGTGCAGACGAGGGTCTAATCCTCACAAATGCTCTCCTTACCAAACGTATTATACTAGGGAGGGCTCATTGGTCATGTCAGTTTGTTATTGGTGAACCATTGGTAGACTAAAGTACAATACAGCCTGAACTTTGTCAGAATTATTAGATGTGCATCTGTTGCTTGTATCTGACGCCTGCTGCTTCGCCCGACTTTGCTCTACCGACCTTCCCTCGTTCTGTTGGTCCAGTACTACCACGACCACAATGTCCTACAAGTGACGATCAAACATGCCCTTTTTGTTCTACAAAAAAGCACTCCTATTTAAATAAACATAACGATAACTATTCATTTTTTGTTATTATATTTTTAATTTTTCAGGACTTATTTTTATCAAAAAATTTAATATATGCCAATTTACAATCTTTTGTCCCTATAAACATAAATCTATATCGATATATGTCAGATGTTGGCTTTTAAAATGTTTTTTTTTTATTTTTTTTTTTTGGAAAAGCCATTCGGTTTCAATAACTATTATTTAGTTTCATTTTTAAAAAAAATTAAAAACTCATTGGAGATTGGGTTCTATGATTTCATTTCAATAATTTTTTTTCAAAAAATTAGATTATAAATAGGCATGGTCCATGTGTTTGTAAGAAAGCTCTACTCTCAAATTAAATTATAGAAACCAAATTTTATGATATGATGTTTCAATACAAAAATACGAAATCGAATGGTTTTTCAACCCTAAAAATAAAAGTGAATCATATAACCCAAACTCAAATGATTTTTCAACCCAAAAAACTGAAACGAAATCATAGAAACCAAACGTAAAAGTAAATATATCAGTTTGGCATGATGTATATTGATATAAATATCTACTTATAGAGAATATAATATTAAATTTTGATATATTAGTTTTTCTTAGTAAAAATAATCCTAAAGTTATAAAAAAAATAATAGTAATGGATATTGATCAAGATGATTTTTTTTTTGAAAATATTAATGGTTTTTGTTGAACTAGAAAAAGGAGGTCATTATCAATGTTTTAAAAACTGAATTTTTTGTGGAGCCAGTCTAGTGACCGGTTCGACCGCCGGTTTAACCTAACTTCCATAATTTTTATGTATTTTTCTATTTTCCTAAATACATATGTATATAAAACCAAAATAAAGTCTACCTCACACAGTGGTGTGTGTCGGCTTTCGAGTTGTGTACACTTTAGTTAACCTAATCGATCGATTTGTGCTTTGAATATTGATTGTTTTTTAACGGGTTTAGTGAAATCCAACTAACCAAATACAATAAACCGGTTCAAACGATTTTTTTTTACTATGAAGGACTAAGATATCTCATGTATCTTTTATATATATTTAGAGTCATTTAAATTGTAAATAATTAGTCAAATACAGTTGTATTCTTTCCTAGTTTAGTGCATATAACTGTTGTGACATCCCCTAATTTCTCGGCCAGAAAAGACCGATTTAATTTATGCTTTTTAAACTAAAATCAGAGAAATATTTTTAAAAGATGTTGCGGAATTGGTCCCCAAAACAAAATATGATAAAAGTTTGTCAAAACCTTTCTTTAAGAAATATATATTTCATTTCATATCAAAACCTCGGGATGTCATGTTCCGATACAGATTAAAAGCATAAACAAGACATTATAAGCCTTTCAACAGTTATTTACAACTACTGGCCTATAATCGAAAAATCTCTCATCGTCCTCCGACTATGCTCGGGGTCCACTACCTGTAACATAAAAAGCTGAGTGGGTCAGACTTGGGAGTCTGGTGAGCATATAGGGTTTTCAACCCACAGTAATAATAAACTTATTAAGTTCACCAATCAACAATAACCCTGATTACCCGTTCCCGTTATCCTCACTTTACGTCCCTAAACACTTTTCACAAGGGACCTAGCCTAAAGAATATGATCGGGATGGACACTACTGCTAAGGGGTTTCCTCAGCCATACATGTCCTAAAGGCAACTATGAGGGGGATGGAGTACAACGAGTAAACACCCAACTTCATTAACACCTACAGGTTGCGGGCCTGCTAATGTTTCCCACTGGACTGTCTAGAAAGTCTGTGGTCGTCATCCAAACTCCGCTAGATGACTGAATCTCAAATCACATCGAGACCTCTCATCACTTTAGTTTATCACACACCAACTATCTACCCATGTTCTACCCAACATATTTGTAGATAAAAATACTTATACAGTTTAAAACTTGTATAAAACATCAACTCAACAGTCACCTCAAATAAACAATTAATATATTTACACATAGCACGTATTATAAGGTAAATACTTCATATCTATGTGTAAAATGAAAGTGACTATACACTCACTTTATTTAATGAAAATCGGGCAGCAATTCGTTTCCTAAAAATGATCGTTTCTAATTAAACCGGAAGTTTTATTCAGAAACCGGGCTCTGCGAGGGTCGGGCTTCGAAACCGAAAAGATAAATTTTCCGGGCTTCTCGGGCTCTTCGTGGCGTATTCCGGGGGTTATGATCGATACCGGGGCTTTGGGGGATGCTAAGATGAAGAAAATATGAAGAAAGGGGCTAAAGATGGCAAAATTCCAAATCTAACAGGGAAGGCTCGCATACCCCTTCTATTTATAGGGGTACGAAGTCGGTTCCAGTGGTGGGGTCCGCAGGCGAGGGTCCGCAGGTGGATGCATGTGGGCTGTGCATGCGAGGCCTCGATGTCGCCTCCTGATTGGACCGCGGCCTAGGGTCCGAAGCAGCGAAGAGAAGACACGTGTTACCATCTACGAGGTTCGGAGGCTAAGGCGGTGCGAGACTCGGACCAGCTGCGAGCTTCGGATTGGGCCTCCCTTCGGTCGAATCAGAATCCGACACGCGGCTACTGTTCATGCGAGGGAAGGCGACACGTGGCTCGCATGACTCACCAATTTCGGACACGTGGCACTCTTTCAGCGAAGGTGACGTGGCCGAAGCCACCTATGCGAAATTTCTCGGTTTTCGTGTCAAAACTTCTAAAATCCATAACTTTCGCATACGATCTCCGTTTTTTACGTTCTTTACATGCACGCGTAGGTAAATTTACGCTCTACAACTTTCGTTTAGACTTCGTCGGCTAATTTTGAACTTAATTTTTATATTATTATTTTTAACATACCGGGACAGGAAATCCGTTAAAAATTCATAACTTCTTCATCCGACGTCCGTTTTCGTCAGACTTTTTACCGTTGTGCTACTAATGACGAGACCTTCAATTCTCGTTTAGGTCGTGTCGGCTAAAAATCACTCGATCTAAAATTCGAGTTTTTAGCTGTCCACTGCTAAGCTGAAACTTCGAAAAATCATAACTTCCTCATACGAAGTCAGATTTGGGTGTTCTTTTTATACCTACTCTCGGTTTAACGAACACTACGAGTTTCGTTTAGATCACTAAGGCTAAAAAGTAGTTTATCAAAAACTCACTTTTTACGACATTCAGCACCGAGCCGGTTTTGTCGTGAAACTTCGACAGGTCATAACTTCTTCGTTATAACTCGGATTTCGACATTCTTTATATATCCGTAATCCTTGTCACGACCACTACAACTTTCTTAATAGATATCGGCTTTATCTAAAATTTATTTTCGACGCTCATTTTTATTCTTAATTAATTAACTCCTAGTAAATAAGCATAAAACACATAAAACACATAGAATTCACATAATTCCTTTTTCATTTCTTCAAAATGAGTTACAAAGGTTAACCTAGACTATCACCTTAATATTAATGTCTAGGCTAGAAACACGAGTGTTACAACTGTCATCATATTCTGGCTATAAAGAGACTCACGTTTGTACACATTATTCAAGCAATCAATATTGATTCATATACTCCTTACACTGTATGGTATCAGAGCTCTCTTTGCTCTCACGAGTTCTTCGATCCAGCAGCCCTTTTTTCTCACAATTATGGTTCTTCAATGGCCAACAGACAACTGCAAGTCACAGCCACCACTTACCTGAGTACCAAACACACCTCTCACAATTACTCAGTTTGGCGAAAGTAGGTTGAAGCCACACTCATCAATATTGAACTTGAAGACTAGATTCTCGATGAATCCATTCAACCCACCCAACCAATCATTGACAAAGAAGGCAAGCCCATCGCCAATCCAAAATATCGTCCATGGTATCGCAAAGATCAAATGATCTTTAGTGCCATCCTCCGCAGTTGTTTCGAATCCATTCAACCTCTTGTCTCATCTACTTCCACAACATGTGAAGCATGGGAAAGACTATACTCAAGCTTTGCCTCCTCCTCAAAATCACGCATCATCTCCTTGAAGTCCAAACTT